TCATTAGAAATGTGCTCGATCATATATTGATGCAGGCGAGGGAGGAAATGATATGATGAAAGAGCTTCAGCATTATTTGGAAGCCTTGGTACTATATATATAAAATTTAGCAGTTTTGATCATTTATTGAGTTTAGGGGAAATTAGGATTGTGAGTTGAGATTATATTTGCATACAGATTTTTTGTCGTGCTAATTTGATCCTTTTATGGATTATGGATACTAAATGTGAAAAGTTAGCAGCAGATGTTGTTGCCCATAGATTTTATCCATCTTGATTGTGCAGTTTGAATCTTTCTCTGTTTTAATATGGCTTAGTTTGCTGATGCTTAGGCTATCTTTCTATTCACTATACTATTGTCCACTGGTTGGAATGCTAATATTTTGGGTGTCAAATGAAATATCTAAAGCCTTAATTTGTTGCCTTTATAGGATTGGTGAATGTTTGAGATGTATGTTATAGCCATTATAGATTGGAGTATCATATCATATCAAAATTAAAGCTCATCTTGCCTTGCCGAAAGGTATTTCCCACATACTCTCCCCAAATTATATTTTTGTTATACTGTGAGTATTTGCAATAGGTCACTGGTGTATGCGAGTATGAGGCTGTTGATCCTCACTAGGACATGATCGCCAGACAATATACCATGACATAGTTAAGGTAAAGAAGTATATTTTGAGCAACCACTCTGCTCCCTTTTCCCTTTCCAGATAATTAAATTCATCTATTTTTTGAGTTCATTTTGCAGAAATTAGAAAAATATGCTTTGGAGTTTGGACGGACCTATTCAGCAAGTTAAGTTGAAATGGAGTTAGTTCAAGCATTTGCCTGCTCATCCCAGCACCTAAATATATTTTTACCCAAAAGATTGTGTATTGTTCAATTTTCATTCCCTGTTGTACGTTGACTATTATATTCTTATTGGGCTAAAAAGATGGTGGTTCAATTTGGACAGTCCATCAGGCATTAGTGGGCTTAGGATGCCCAAGCCTGTTATCCTTCTACTGCAGAGAGGAGGAGGTTTTCGCTGCTCTGTGAAGCCAGCCTCACGCAGTACCCTCCAATCTAAGGGCTAAGAAGCCTCTGCCTTTGCAAAGACTCCACCGCCCAACTCACCACTTGGAATGGACAAGCTAGTAGGTAGCAACCCAAACCCAACCTTCAAGGAAGGCCCAATTGTTCCACCATCATAATGCTCCCACTCGGGTTACAAGCTTGCGCTACCAAGCCCAGCGATCAAACTTCCTAGCTAGGCGTTTATTAAGAAAACATATTTCTCATCAGGTTTCGATGTGGGAATTTGTGCTAGGACTTGTTTCCCATGGGGAAAAATGGAGCAGAGAACTATCATCATGTACTCATGTTTATGTTTGGTTTTTGATCGCTATGAGATGGGTTCTGCTGGCAGAGATGAATTTTGCTGAAAGCATCACCCTTAAAACTATACTTTGTAGCAATTTTCATATTTAGAGGAACCCACACTTATATATATGCTCAAAGTAAAGTAAAATGGGCCAAGAATTTGTTTTGCTATAGATGACATTGAATTGGTATGTCAGCTAGCATTGCAATAACCTTCCTTCCATTCATTTATGGTTTTTGCTCTTACACGTACTGCACTTTCATCCACCTTATATATATGCTTGCTGATGCTTAGGTTATCTCTCTATCCAGTATTGTCCACTAGTTGAATGTTAATAGTTTGGGTGTCAAATGAAATATTTAAAACTATTTATAGATTGGTGAATGTTTTAGATATATATGCTATTGCAAATCAAAATTAATTTGGACTTATCCTGCCAGTCTTGAGCTGTAGAGTTTACATCTGACCAAACTTTTATTCCACAGATAGATCCATCAACTTGTAATCAAATACCAAGAATGGTTTTTCCCACATTCTCTACCCAAATTATATTCTTGTTATACAGTTATTTACGAATTACTCTGTCATGATCAAGGGGAGAAAAGAGAGAAGAAGAGAACAGTGGGGAATGAGCATGAGAATTGCAGGGATTGAAAAAGCTGGAAACAATGAAAGGTCAGACGACGTTGCTTGAACAAAGATTCATGGGAATTGCTACAAGCATTGTAACTAAGCTCATGGCAATATACTACAGGTTAGTGGAGTTAAAAACGACATTTTTACTTGCAACAAGGAAGATTTTTGACAATGTGAAAAGTTAGCAGATGTTGCTATAGATGATTAAGTAATTGTTTAAGTACATATTCGATATTCCCCTCTGATCCTTAACTCTTCCAAAACTCAAATATAAATGAAGTTTATCTGTCAACATGACAAACATAGAACAAGTTTTCAATGATGGCCGAAAAATTTTATATGTTAAGTATTACTGAAAGAAAACCTGGATATGATTTATGAATATAGATTGTAACTAATTTATAATCAACTCTAGTTTATGGATTATTTATTTAAATGATCTAAATGGTATGGGGTATTATACAATCCATACTCTTTGACTGTGGTCTTGATCAATAATTTCACTATTGTTTCTTGGAATGAAAATGAAGAAGAATTAATTTTGTTTAATTACTCCTTTTTTAAGCCGCACACATTCATATAAGGTGAAGCCGGCTTCACGTGGGGCTTTCCGATCTGAATGCCAAGGTACCTCCCACACTTACCTCAGCCTTCACTATTGTCCACTGGTTGAATGTTATGTTGCCTTTATTGGTGAATGTTTGAAATTTTGACCCTTTTCCTAAAGAAAAATAAGGAAAAGATAGGTGGTTTTATTAGGGGGGATGACCGGCCAGTTATTGCAGCGCAGAGAGAAGGGAGGAATACGCTGATATGCTAAAGCCAGCAATGGGGTCTTTCCGATCTGAAGGCCGAGGCACCTCGGTCTCTCACCTCCACCTTCGCAGAGAAACTTCCCGTCAACCCACAAGTCCAATTTTCCACCATCTTAATGCTCCCACTGGGGTTACAGGCTCACACTACTAAGCCCAGCAAGTGATGCTTCTAGCTAGGGACTTATTAAGAGAACAAATTTCTCATCTGATTTCGATGTGGGAATTGTGCGAGGACTTGTTTGGCATTCATGGGGAAAAATGGAGCAGAGAACTATCATGCATGTACTCATGTTTATGCATGGTTTTTAATTTGCTTCACTGAATGCAAAGGCAGAGATGATTGGGTTCTGCTGGCAGCATCCAATCACACCCTATATGCTTTAATTTGCTTCATCTTTATTTCCATCTCACATTATTTTCATATGTTTTTATTGTTTAGTTTAGAAATGTGCTCGATCATATATTGATAGATGCAGGCGAGGGAGGAAATGATATGATGAAAGAGCTTCAGCATTATTTGGAAGCCTTGGTACTATATATGTAAAATTTAATTAGCAGTTTTGATCATTTATTGAGTTTAGGGGAAATTAGGGTTGTGAGTTGAGATTATATAAGCATTCACATTTTTTGTCATGCGATAGATGACATTGAATTGGTATGTCAGCAAGCATTGCAATAACCTTCCTTCCATTCATTTATGGTTTTTGCTCCTACACTGCACTTTCATCCATCTTCATGCTTCAGTTCGAATCTTTCTCTCTTTTATATGCTTTCTAATGCTAAGGCGGCTATCCTTTTATTCACTATTGTCCACTAGTTGAATGTTAAAGAACTTTGTTTCTCAGCATATAATAATTATGGACTGAATTGTGTATTCCTCCGAGTTAAAGAACTTTGTTTCTCAGCATACTGAGATATAACTTGTGTTTCCATTGAAGGTTTTGAAGCAGATACTTGGACTACATGCTTATCAAGCTTGTCAAAGATATAAAGTTGCAGCATCGACATAAAAATATGTGAATTTGAACACTGCAAGTGAATATTTCTATTACATACCACCATGAAAATTGAGTCATATTTAATTGTTTGCAATAGGTCACTCGTCTACATGAGTATTCAGGTGTACGTGATCCTCACTCCAACATGATCGCCAGACAATACCGTGACATAGTTAAGGTAAAGAAATATGTTTTGAGTAAAATGTTCTACTCTACTACTCCCTTTACGCTTTCCAGATAATAAATTTTTTTAGTTCATTTTGCAGAAATTGGAAAATATGCTTTGGACACAGTTCAGCAAGTTAAAATGAACTTGAATTTTTTGACATATGCTTTATAGTTTAGTAGTGTATGCTACTCAACTCCCAATTATTAGTTGTATTTTATACGCACTTGGTATGTTACTATGTTATATACCCAAAGTCCATATAAGTCACTGTTGTAAAGGCTTTATTGGGCTGTGTGGCCCATGCTAACTTGGCCAACAGGTAAAAAGATGGTGGTTCAATTTAGGCAGCCCATCAAGCAGTAGTGGACCCAGGATGCACCGGCCCATTTTCCTTCCACTGCAGAGCGCAAATTATGCCGTGGAATCGTGTTCACCGAGAATGGTGAACACAAGTCAAAACGACGTCGTTTTTAGGCAAAAAAAAAAAAAAAATCGCGGATGTGGAGTTAACGGCGCGTTACTGATCAAATTATGAATTTTCTGTTATGAGATTATGAATTTTATGAAAATTCATAATCTCATAACAGAAAATTCATAATCGCATAACAGAAAATTCATAATCGCATAACAGAAAATTCATAATCTCATAACAGAAAATTCATAATCTTATAACAGAAAATTCATAATCTCATGGTTCCAAAGTGAATGTGTAGGCATGGTTCCAAAGTGAATGTGCAGGCATGGATTCATAATTTATGAATGTCCGTGATTTCGGACGGGAATATGTAGGCATGGTTCAAAAGTGAATGTGCATGCATGAATTCATAATTTATGAATGTCCGAAACTCCGAAATTATGAATGTAATGAAAATTCATAATCTCATAACAGAAAATTCATAATCTCATAACAGAAAATTCATAATCTCATAACAGAAAATTCATAATCGCATAACAGAAAATTCATAATCTCATAACAGAAAATTCATAATCTCATGGTTCCAAAGTGAATGTGTAAGCATGGTTCTAAAGTGAATGTGTAGGCAGTCACGTAATTAATTAAAAAAAAATAAAAAATTAAAAATTAAAAAAAAAAAAGAAGAAGATAACGGTGCACTAACACCGTTGGAACCGTGTTCACCATTCATGGTGAACACGGTTCCATGGCATAACGTCTCCTGCAAAGAGGAGGAGGTTTTCGCTGCTCTGTGAAGCCAGCCTAACGCGGTACCCTCCGATCTAAAGACAGAGAAGCCTTGGCCTTCACTGAGACTCCTCAGTCAACTCACCACTTGGAACGGGTAGGCCAGAAGAGATAGCACACGAAGCCCAACCTTCAGGGCAAGGCCAATTGTTCCACCATCTTAATGCTCCCACTCAGGTTACAGGCTCACGCTACCAAGCCCAGCAGGCAATTCTTTTAGCTAGGGACTTATTAAGTGAACATATTCTTCATCTGGTTTCGATGTGGGATATTGTGCGAGGGCTGGTTTGGCTTTCATGGGGAAAAAATGGAGCAGACAACTATCGTGTACTCATGGTTTTTGCGGTGTATCATATTGTTCACCAAAACTTAGGTATGTAGATGAAGCCTTGATTTTTATTTTAATTTTTTGATGAAAATTGTATAATTTTTGTTCACTGGATGAAATTGCAGAGACATAGCTTGGAAGCTTTGCTTCCCTGAATGGGATGGCAGATATGATTGGGTTCTGCTTGCAGCGTCCACTCGCACCCTATAAGTTTTGCTTCATTTTCATTTTCATCTCACATTATTTTCGTACATGTTTATTGTTTAGTTTAAATTGTGGCGGCTAAAGTTTTAGAAATGAATTGAAGTTGCATCAGCGATGGTCGGAAAATAGTGAAAGAAGCATTATTTGGAAGCCTTGGTAATTACTATATATGTAAAATTTAGCAGTTTTGATCATTTATTTAGTTTAGGGGAAATTAGGGTTGTGATTTGAGATTATGCATACAGATTTTTTATGTACAATTTTTTATGGATAATGGATAAATAATATAGGCAGTTTACATAGAGGCAATTGCAATGGTGGAAGAGTATCTTAGGGTCATTACTCTCAGCTCAGTTTGAAAAACCTTCCTCAGGTTCCTTATTTTTGCACTGTATATACTAAAATAATAGGAGTCAATATAAAGATTGCCATAATGTTAACAATCTTGTAAAATCTCATCCTTTTTGTGAACCATTTACCACTTCAATTTAGAAGATGAATTTTGCTGAAAGCATCGATCACCATTAAAACTATACTTTGTAGCATTTTTCATACATAGAGGGTCAGAAATATGCTCAAAGTAAAATGTGCAAAGAATTTGTTTTGTGATATTTCTAGGTAAATGAAACTATTTTGGAAAAAAAAAAAAAAAACTATTTTGGGATTATGAAGCTCAGGATTATAGCTGCAGAAGCTGCTCAAAGGTCTTATCTCCATAGACGGTGAGATTCAAGATGACGAAATTGAGAAGTTGAGTGTACTCTCAAGAAGTTCCCTTGACAACAGGAGTACCAGTGTTACAATGAGTTCCACCTCAAATTCACCCAATTTCAATAATGTGCTTCAGACCCTTCAATTGGAGGTATTCCCAATCAATACCTTGGAATAACACCTAATTATTTATGGGAAACTCAACTCCATTCAACCTTGCTTCCTTTTATTTATAGTTTTTGCTCCTACATTTTCATCCATCTTCATTGTTCACTTTCAATCTTTCTCTGTTTTATATGGCTTAGCTTGCTGATGCTTAGGCTATCTTTCTATCCACTGGTTGAATGTTATGTTGCCTTTATAGAATTGGTGAATGTTTTAGATATGGTAGCTATTGCAAATCAAAATTAATTTGAGCTTATCCTACCAGTCTTGAGCTGTAGAGTTTACATCATGAATACTTTATAATCTACTCTAGTTTATGGATTATTTACTTAAATAATCTAATTGGTATTATACAATCCATAGTGTTTCATTGGGGCCTTGATCAATAATAACATAACTTGGGCATGTGGCACAATCTTGTTACTCTAGCATCTGCCATTTTAGCTTTTAAACTTTATTTCATTACAAGAGTTTTTTTAAAGGGGTTATCAAAAGCTGAAGCCAGTGGAAACAGGGTAAAGTTGGTAATTGAGGAGGACGTTGAGAGAGAAGAAGCATCTTTGCATGAAGATTTATATTCATCAGACAGAAAACTTACAGAATATTACAATGTATGGATCTCTTGCAGCCTTTTATCTGAACTTTCCTCTTCTTGATCTCTGGACTGGATTGTGCCTTCCACTAAGGTAAAGAACTTTGTTTCTCAGCATACTGACTTAATGTTCGTGTTAGCACTTACCAACCCCAACAAGCATTCCTCCTAGCTAGGCTCTTATTAAGAGAACATATTTCTCATCTGATTTCAATGTGGTTGAGTTGTATATTGCTATTCTAATTACTTGAAGTCTTGAACTAAGTAATTCTAATGGAACATATATGCTAACACTTGTATTGTTCTGATATGTAGACATGGCAGAATACCATATATTGCTTTCACGTGAGATCAAAAACCATTTATATGCTTAAATGTGAAAAGGTAGCAGATGTTGTTGCTATAGATGACATTGGTCTGTCAGCATTGTAAGCTTCCTTCCATTCATTTATGGTTTTTGCTCCTACACTGCACTTTCATCCATCTTCATTCTTCAGTTTCAATCTTTCTCTCTTTTATATGCTTGCTGATGCAGAGGCTATATTTCTATCCACTGGTTGAATGTTAATAGTTTGGGTATCAAATGAAATATTTAAAGCTATGTTGCCTTTATAGATTGGTGAATGCTTTAGATATATGCTATTGCAAATCAAAATTAATTTGGACTTGTACTACCAGTCTTGAGCTGTAGCCAGAGTTTGCATCTGACTAAACTTTTATCCCACAGATCCATCAACTGGTAATCAAATACCAACTGTTTGTCTTCCAGAAAGGTTTCTCCCACATTCTCTCCCCAAATTATATTCTTGTTATGCAGTTATTTATGAATTACTCTGCCATGATCAAGGGGAGAAAAGAGAACGTACAGAGGGGAATGAGCATGGGAAATGCAGGGATTGAAGAAGCTGGAAACAATGAAAGGTCAGACGACGTTGCATAGTGAAGATAAATGTAGATAGAGTAAGAGGGTCAACCCGGTATTGCAGCCTCATGGCAAACTTTTATTCCACAGATACATCCATCAACTGGTAATCAAATACCCAGAATGGTTTATCCCACATTCTCTACCCAAGTTATATTCTTGTTATACAGTTATGTATGAATTACTCTGTCATGATCAAGGGGAGAAAAGAGAGAAGAAGAGAACAGAGGGGAATGAGCATGAGAAATGCAGAGATTGAAGAAGCTGGAAACAATGAAAAGTCAGACGACGTTGCTTGAACAAAAGGTTCGTGGGAATTGCTACAAGCATTGTAACTAAGCTCATGGCAATATACTACAGGTTAGTGGAGTTAAAAACGACATTTTTACTTGCAACAAGGAAGATTTTTGACAATGTCAATGTGCGTGCTCCTTCTCTTTGATTAATGGAAGCTATTCGGGGCATGTTACACGAATCATGATGATTGAGTTTGCTCTATCCGCCACATTCACAGTGAAGCAAATAGTTGTGTTGACGGGTTTGCTTCAAGCTATACCCCTTCCACACCCCATTTGCAGATCTTTGATAAGTTTCCAAAGAGACTTGGGGCCTGCAGACATTGTATGGCTCTCAAGACCCAGATTTATTTAGTCTCATAATCTACTTTTAAAAAAAAAAACACTCAAAATTCAAAATTTTTTGTGGGTTTCTTTGAAATTTTGTGTATAATTATTTTTGTAAAATTTGATGTAGCTTTGATAGGAATTTATATTAATACCATATAATATTGTGTAAGGTTAGATTGAATTGTTTAATCATTTAGATGCTAATTGTGAAAAGTTAGCAGATGTTTCTATAGATGATTAAGTAATTATTTAAGCACATAGTCAATATTCCAAATCTCAAATATAAATAAAGTTTATCTGTCTACATGACAAACATAGAACAATTTTTCAATGATGGCAGAAAAATTTTATATGTTAAGTATTACTAAAAGAAAACCTGGATATGATTTATGAATATAGATTATCACTAATTTAAAATCAACTCTAGTTTATGGATTATTTATTTAAATGGTACGGGGTATTATACAATGAAAATGCCGCACACATTCATATAAGGTGACTTCACGCAGGGCTTTCCGGTCTGAAGGCCGAGTTACCTCCCACACTTACCTCAGCCTTCGGGTTACAGGCTCGTGCTACTAAGCCCATCAACCAATTGACAATTCTTCTAGCTAGGGACTTATTAAGAGAACATATTTCGCATTTGATTTCTATGTGGGAAATTGTGCGAGGACTTGTTTGGCTTTCATGGGGAGAAATGGAGCAGAGAACTATCATGCATGTACTCATGTTTATGCATGGTTTTTGCTTCACTGAATGGAAAGGCAGAGATGATTGGGTTCTGCTGGCAGCATCCAATCACACCCTATAAGCTTCAATTTGCTTCATTTTTATTTCCATCTCACATTATTGTTTTGTTTTGAAATGTGCTCAATTATATATTGATGCAGGCGAGGGAGGAAATGATATGATGAAAGAGCTTCAGTATTATTTGGAAGCCTTGGTACTATATATGTAAAATTTAGCAGTTTTGATCATTTATTGAGTTTAGGGGAAATTAGGGTTGTGATTTGAGATAGATTATATGCATACAGCTTTTTCGTCATGCAATAGATGACAGTGAAATTTTATATGTTAGGTATTACTGAAAGAAAACCTGGATATGATTTATGAAAAAAGACGGTGGTTTACCTGGGCAGCCAATCAGGCTGCTAGTGGACGGGGTTGCACCGGCCAGTTATCCTTCCACCGCAGAGAGGAGGAGGTTATCGCTGCTCTGTGAAGCCAGCCTCACGCGGTGCCCTCCAATCTAAGGACAGTGAAGCCTCCGCCTTCACAGAGACTCCACCATACAACTCACCACCTTCAAGGCAAGCCCAATTATTCCACCATCTTTATGCTCCCACTTGGGTCACAGGCTCGCACTACCAAGCCCAGCAAGCAATTGTTCTATCTAGGGATTTATTAAGAGAAAATATTTCTCATCTGGTTTCGATGTGGGAAATTGTGCAAGGGCTTGTTTGGCTTTCATGGGGAAAAAGTGGAGCAGACAACCCTCGTGTACTCATGGTTTTTGACAGCTATGAGATTTGCGAAGCCTTGATTTTTGTTTTTGTGATGGAAATTGTATCATTTTTGTTGAAGGGGGGAGGGGCTTATATGTGAAGCAGAGACATATATAGCTTGGAAGCTTTAATATGCTTCACTGAGTGAATGGAATGGCAGAGATGATTGGGTTCTGATGGCAGCATCCAATCACACCCTATAAGCTTTGCTTCATTTTCATTTCCATTTCACATTATATATTTTCATACGTTTTTATGATTTAGTTTATGGATTGGCAGTGATGAGGAATTGTTTTTGCAAGTTTTTGTTGAGTTGTATATTGCTATTCTAATTACTTGAAGTTTTGAACTAAGTAATTCTAATGGAACATATATGTTTACACTTCTATTGTTCTGATATTGTAGGACATGGCAGAATAGCAGTCAGCAGATATTGGTTTCACGTGAAATCAAAAATCACTTAGATGCTAAATGTGAAAAAGGTAGCAGATGTTGTTGCTATAGATGACATTGGTCTGTCAGCATTGTAAGCTTCCTGCCATTCATTTATGGTTTTTTCTCCTACACTGCACTTTCATCCATCTTGATTGTTCGATCAGTTTGAATCTTTCTCTCTTTTATATTGTTGAATATTAGGAAAGTTGTCTTAGTTTCCTATTCTTATTAGTAGTTTCCTAAACTAATTTAGTATCTAGTTTAGTATATATAGAGGTCCATAGAAGTATAGAATATACATTAAGAGAGACGATTCTATTGTAATCTTTCACTATAATATATTCTCTTTATTCTCTTGTTCTTTGGTTCTCACATATTTTGCTTCCGCCTAACTGGCGGGTGGTGGTTATTCTCCACCCGCCAGACCTATCAATCCCTCAATTTCAACATGGTATCAGAGCCTACTTTCCTAGGCTGTTTTTTCTTCAAATATTAAAACCCTAATATAAACCCTAGCTTTCCGCCGCCGCTGCCGCCACCGGAGGGTAACCACTGCCGCCACTGTTTTCTCTCGTTCCGACGCACTTCTAGTTGTTGTTCAAAGCAACTAACACCACAGCCTTACTCGGAACCTTGTCGCGAGCCGTCGCTTGAAATCCGGTCGCCATTCACCGTCGCACGCGCCCACACGCGCCACCACCGTCGTCGGGAGTGCTTTCGCTTTTCCGGCCAGATCTCCTCTTCTCCAGTGATTTTGTGATCTCACCTCCTACACCAATGGATTCTTCTCCCTCTTGCGACCTTATCTGGAAAATTTCATCGCTTTCCTCCACCGCCGTCGTCCTCACGCGCCACCGCCGCCGTCACGCGCCGTCGACCTTCCTCACGCGCCGGTGCGTGAGTCTGCCTCCGGCGAGATTTTTCAGATGGTTGTTTTGCCCTTCTTTCAACTTTTTGGTGAAATTTGAAGGCTTCTTTGGGTTTGTTGCCGAACATTTTCCCATGGTGTTTGTGTTTTGGTATAACCGTGTTTGTTTCTTTATCTCCGGTATGCCTTATCCCATGGATGGTCAGTTTCAGCACTACTATAAAGGCCTTTGATTATTTCCCATGTTTCAAGTAAGGGGGAGTGTGACTATCTACAATTGGTGTGCTATCATTTACTATTATTTGCTATTTTATCTACTATGGGCTCCCTTTGCTATTCTTTGCTCCCTTTCTGCCTCTACCGCTCTCTTGTGTTATCGGGAGGTTGTTCATGTTTAACTCTATCCTTGGTGTGTTCATCTTCATTCCCGAGGTTCATGTTCAATTCTGTTCTCGGTGTGTTCATTCCCAAGATCGTGTTTAGCTTCGTCCTTGGTGTCTTCGTCTTTATTCCCAAGGGTCCTTGGTGTCTTCGTCTTTATTCCCAAGGATTGTGTTCAGCTCCGTTCTTGGTGCCTTCGTCTTCATTCCCAAGGAAGGGTCAGACATAGCGCAATCTCTTTTGAAGTCATCCATCCTCGAGTGCTTATATTGTTGTGATGGTGTTCGTGTTTTCCCTTGGTGCCTCCATTCCCAAGGATGTTCGTGACAAGCTTTGCCCCTGGTGTGTTCATTCCCAAGGGTTGCATTGTCCCTCCGAAGCCATCTCGCATTGTTATCCTCTAGTTGCATTTAATTTTCACTTGTAATTTTGAGTGAGGTAGAGTGCTTGTTTTAATCCAAGCTTGGAACTTCAGATGTTCCAGCTTGAGGGGGAGTGTTGAATATTAGGAAAGTTGTCTTAGTTTCTTATTCTTATTAGTAGTTTCCTAAACTAATTTAGTATCTAGTTTAGTATATATAGAGGTCCATAGAAGTATAGAATATACATTAAGAGAGACGATTCTATTGTAATCTTTCACTATAATATATTCTCTTTATTCTCTTGTTCTTTGGTTCTCACATATTTTGCTTCCGCCTAACTGGCGGGTGGTGGTTATTCTCCACCCGCCAGACCTATCAATCCCTCAATTTCAACATATATGCTTGCTGATGCTTAGGCTATCTTTTTATCCACTCTTAAGTATTATCCACTGGTTGAATTTCAATAGTTTGGGTGTCAAATGAAATATTTAAAGCTGGATTTTTAGTTTTGGATACCATATTGGCTCTATCTACCTGGAAGATTCAGACTATTAAGTAATGATTTAAGTACATATTCCCCTCTGATCTTTTAACTCTTCCAAAACTCAAATATAAATGAAGTTTATCTGTCAACATGACAAACATAGAACAATTTTTCAATGATGGCAGAAAATTTTTATATGTAAGGTATCACTAAAACAAAACCTGGATATGATTTATGAATATAGATCACCACTAATTTATAATCAAATCTAGTTTGTGGATTATTTATTTAAATAATCTAAATGGTACGGAGTATTATACAATCCATAATCTTTGACTGTGTATGTCCTTAATCAATAATTTCACTATTGTTTCTTGGAATGAAAATGAAGAAGAATTATTATTTTACGGGGGTTATAAAAAAGATGGTGGGAATTAAGGGGATGCACCGGCCAGTCACTTCCAGTGGTGTACATAATAGGGAGGAACACGCTGCTATGGTGAAGCTGGCTTCACGCGGGGCTTTCCGATCTGAAGGATCCCAGGCACCTCCCACAATTGCCCTCAGCCTCTGCAGAAGACTTCCCGCCAACCCACAAGACCAATTTTACACCATCTTAATGCTCCCGCTAAGGTTACAGGCTCGCACTATAAAGCCCAGCAAGTGATGCTTCTAGCTAGGGACTTATTAAGAGAACAAATTTCGCATCTGATTTTGATGTGGGAAATTGTGTGAGGACTTGTTTGGCTTTCATGGGGAAAAAATGGAGCAGACAACTATCATGTACTCATGTTTATGCATGGATTTGTGCTTCGCTGAATGGAATGGCAGAGATGATTGGCTTCGCATCTGAATAAGCTTTGCTTCTTCATTTTTATTTCCATCTCACATTATTTTCATATGTTTCTATTGTTTAGTTTAGAAATGTGCTCGATTACATATTTATGCAGGCTAGGGAGGAAATGATATGATGAAAGAGCTTCGGCATTATTTGGAAGCCTTGGTACTTACTATATATGTAAAATTTAGCAGTTTTGACCATTTATTGAGTTTAGGGGAAATTAGGGTTGTGAGTTGAGATAGATTATGCATACAAATTTTTTTGTCATGCTAATTTGATCCTTTAACGGAGTGTTTGGTTGGAGGGAGGGAATTAGGTGGAAAAGAATTGCAATTCCGTGGGAGAGTATTAGCAATTGTCTGAGTTGTATATTTCTATTCTAATTATGTGAGATCGGAAATCATTTAGATGCTAAATGTGAAAAGTTAGCAGATGTTGTTGTTATAGATGACATTGCTCTGTCAGCATTGCAATCTTCCTTCCATTCATTTATGGTTTTTGCTGCTACACTACACTTTCATCCATCTTGATTCTTCAGTTTGATTCTATCTCTATGCTTGCTGATGTTTAGGCTATCTTTCTATTGACTATTGTCCACTGGTTGAATGTTAGTAGTTTGGGTGTCAAATGAAATATCTAAAGCTATGTTGCATTAATGGATTGGTGAATGTTTTTGAGATATATGCTATTGCCTTTATAGATTGGTGACTTGGTGTATCTTATCAAAAGCTCATCTTCAAGAAAGGTATTCCCACATTCTCTCCCCAAACTATATTCTTGATCTCTGCACTTTCCTCTTCTTGATCTCTGGACTGGATTATGCCTTCCACTGACGTAAAGAACTTTGTTTCTCAGCATGCTGACATATAATCTTTATTTCCATTCAAGGTTTTGGAGCAGATACATATAAGAGTGGTTATCAAACTTGTCAAAGATATAAAGTTGCAACATCAGCATAAATATGCATGTGAGTTTAGTACTGTGCTTTTGTCATTACATCTGTTAGCATTTTTCATCTCTAAATACAAATAAAATATACATCCAATTCTGTCATTACATAACAATTAACAAATTAATGTTCATTTAAATAAATAAATTAAAAGAGATATATGATTGTAGTAAAATGTGGATCAGAAGATGTATTTTGTTAATAGTATTAATGAGTTAAAATTCAATTTTCTAAATACAAAATGAGTTTGAAAGGCTTTGCTATTTGCTATGTCAGAAAGTGTACTAGAAAGTGAAAATCATATCACTCAATTAGTTGATGGTGGTCTTTGTTTATAATAATAAAGTAGGGATCACAATGTTGGAATCTCACCAACAAGTTTGATGTGGTAGTGTGTGGTCTTTGTTAAAACTCATTCTAATTACTAAATATTTGATTGCGATTCTAATTCCAATTGAGATACCCTAACCGACCACTCCTTAGATATTTTCTACACAATTAATTTTTAGCGGCATCAATAGCAAGAGCAGTGGTACCAGCATGCTTGATGAGGAATTAAGTTGTTGAAGGAGACAAAACAATATAAACGAATGTGAGAAAATATTGAATCCCCTTGTAGGCAAATACAGTTTACATATATAATACAACAATGCTCTCTAAATTCTTCATTGTTGTAAAGGGGTTTATTGGCTGTGATGCTAACTGCAGCCCCCCCCCCCCCCCCCCCCCCCCCCCCCCCCCCCAAAAAAAAAAAAAAAGATGGTGGTTCACTTGGGCAGCCCATCAGGCACTGGTGGACAGAGGTTACACCGGCCAGTTATCCTTCCACCACAATGAGGAGGAGGTTATCGCTGCTCTGTTAAGCCAGCCTCACGCAGTGCCCTCCGATCTAAGGACAGTCAAGCCTCTGCCTTCGCAGAGACTCCACCACACAACTCACCACTTGGAACAGGCAGGCCAGTAGATAGCAACCCCAGCCCAGCCTTCAAGGCTAGCCCAACTGTTCCACCATCTTAATGCTCCCACTTGGGTTACAAGCTCGTGTTACCAAGCCCAGCGAGCCATTCTTCTAGCTAGGAAGTTATTAAGAGAAAATATTTCTCATCTGGTTTCAATGTGGGATATTGTGCAAGGCCTTGTTTGGCTTTCATGGGGAAAAAGTGGAGCAGACAACCCTCGTGTACTCACTCATGGTTTTTGACAGCTATTAGATTTGTGAAACCTTGATTTTTGTTTTTGTGATGGAAATTGTATCATTTTTGTTGAAGGGTTGAGGGGCTTATATGTGAAGCAGAGACATACATGGCCTGGAAGCTTTAATTTGCTTCACTGAGTGAATGGAATGGCAAAGATGATTGGGGTCTGCTGGCAGCGTCCAATCACACCCTGTCATGATCATGGGGAGAAAAGTGAGAAGAAGAGAACAGAGGGGAATAAGCATGAGAAATGCAGGGATTGAAGAAGCAGGGAACAATGAAAGGTGAGACGATGTTGCTTGAACAAAGCGTTAATTTGGTGCCTCCTCTTCCAAAATAAAAAATGAGACATTTATTATGTGGGAATGGCAACGACCTCGTTAGTGAAGATAAATGTAGAGAGAGTAAGAGTGGTCAACCCGGTATTGCAGCCTCATGTGGTATGTAAAAATGACTAAGGTTCATGGGAATTGCTACAAGCATTGTAACTAAGCTCATGGCAATATGCTACAGGTTAGTGGAATTAAAAACGACATTTTTACTTGCAACCAGGAAGATTTTTGACCATGTCAATGTGCGTGCTCTTTCTCTTTACTTTCAACGAGGAAGATGGTGAGAATAAATCCTTTACTTGGGCCTAAATGGAAAATATAAAAGATGGTGGTTGAATTAGGGGATGCACCGGCCAGTTACTTCAAACGTGGAGGGAATAAGGAGGAACATGCTGATGTGCTGAAGCCGGCTTCATGCAGGGCTTTCCAATCTGAAGGCCGAGGCACCTCCGTCACTTGCCTCAGCCTACGCAGAAAACTTCCAACCAACCCACACACCAATTTTCCACCATCTTAATGCTCCCACAGGGGTTACAGGCTCACACTACTATACCCAGTGAGCAATTCTTCTAGCTAGGAACTTATTAAGAGAACATATTTCTCATATGATTTCGATGTGGGAAATTATGCGAGGACTTGTTTCCCATGGGGAAAAAATGGAGCAGACAACTATCATGCATGTACTCATCATGTTTATGCATGGTTTTTGCTTCACTGAATGGAATGGCATAGATGATTGGGTTCTGCTGGCAGCATCCAATCACACCCTATAAGCTTTAATTTGCTTCATTTTTATTCCCATTTCACATTAGAAATGTGCTCGATCATATATTGATGCAGGCGAGGGAGGAAATGATATGATGAAAGAGCTTCAGCATTATTTGGAAGCCTTGGTACTATAGTCTATATATGTAAAATTTAGCTGTTTTGTTCATTTATTGAGTTTAGGGGAAATTAGGGTTGTGAGTTGAGATTATATGCATACAGATTTTTTGTCGTGCTAATTTGATCCTTTTATGGATTATGGATACTAAATGTGAAAAGTTAGCAGCAGATGTTGTTGCCCATAGATTACTTTTATCCATCTTGATTGTGCAGTTTGAATCTTTCTCTGTTTTATATGCTTGCTGATGCTTAGGCTATCTTTCTATTCACTATACTATTGTCCACTTGTTGGAATGCTAATATTTTGGGTGTCAAATGAAATATCTAAAGCCTTAATTTGTTGCCTTTATAGGATTGGTGAATGTTTGAGATGTATGTTATAGCCATTATAGATTGGAGTATCATATCGTATCAAAATTAAAGCTCATCTTGCCTTGCCGAAAGGTATTTCCCACATTCTCTCCCCAAATTATATTTTTGTTATACTGTGAGTATTTGTAATAGGTCACTGGTGTATGTGAGTATGAGGTTGTTGATCGTCACTTGGACATGATCGCCAGACAATACCATGACATAGTTAAGGTAAAGAAGTATATTTTGAGCAAAATGTACGTTCCACTCTGCTCCCTTTTCCCTTTCCAGATAATTAAATTCATCTATTTTTGTAGTTCATTTTGCAGAAATTAGAAAAATATGCTTTGGACGGACCTATTCAGCAAGTTAAGTTGAAATGGAGTTAATTCAAGCGTTTGCCTGCTCATCGCAACACCTAAATATATTTCTACCCAAAAGATTGTGTATTATTCAATTTTCATTCCCTGTTGTATGTTGATTATTATCTCTTATTTTTTCATAATACTTCACATCTCACAGGATGAAGCTCATCCGGTCGAATCTCGGTCTGTTCTCAAAACCTTGCCCTCTTTTCATTTATGCAAAGATCGGAGTTGAAGCTTATCCCCTTCCAATCTTTTGAGGTCAGTGCAGATATCCCTATAATCATTTTCCATTTTTCAGTGGATCAACTTGAACTAGTGTATGTGCACCTAATTGGCTAATTATAATGTTGTAAGAAAGCTGTGAAAATGAGTTCAGTGCAACACCCCTTTTCTTCTAAGTTTTAATACCGGAAAAACTTCATATTGGGCTAAAAAGATGGTGGTTCAATTTGGACAGCCCATCAGGCATTAGTGGGCATAGGATGCCCCAGCCTGTTATCCTTCCACTGCAGAGAGGAGGAGGTTTTCGCTGCTCTGTGAAGCCAGCCTCACGCAGGACAAGCTTGTCAATAGCAACCCAAACCCAACCTTCAAGTTAATTGTTCCACCATCATAATGCTCCCACTTGGGTTACAGGCTTGCACTACCAAGCCCAGCAATCAAACCTCCTAGCTAGGCGTTTATTAAGAAAACATATTTCTCATCAGGTTTCAATGTGGGAAATTGTGCTAGGACTTGTTTCCCATGGGGAAAAATGGAACAGAGAACTATCATCATATACTAGTGCTTATGTATGGTTTTTGACTGCTATGAGATGGTTTCTGCTGGCAGAGATGAATTTTGCTGAAAGCACCACCCTTAAAACTATACTTTGTAGCAATTTTCATATTTAGAGGAACACACATATATATATGCTCAAAGTAAAGTAAAATGGGCCAAGAATTTGTTTTGCTATAGATGACATTGAATTGGTATGTCAGCTAGCATTGCAATAACCTTCCTTCCATTCATTTATGGTTTTTGCTCCTACACGTACTGCACTTTCATCCACCTTATATAGATGCTTGCTGATGCTTAGGCTATTGTCCACTGGTTGAATGTTAATAGTTTGGGTGTCAAATAAAATATATATCTAAAGCTTTAATTTGTTGCCTTTATAGGTTGGTGAATGTTTTAGATATATATGCTATTGCAAATCAAAATTAATTTGGACTTATCCTACCAGTCTTGAGCTGTAGAGTTTACATCTGACCAAACTTTTATTCCACAGATACATCCATCAACTGGTAATCAAATACCCAGAATGGTTTATCCCACATTCTCTACCCAAGTTATATTCTTGTTATACAGTTATTTATGAATTACTCTGTCATGATCAAGGGGAGAAAAGAGAGAAGAAGAGAACGGAGGGGAATGAGCATGAGAAATGCAGGGATTGAAGAAGCTGGAAACAATGAAAGGTCAGACGACGTTGCTTGAACAAAAGGTTCGTGGGAATTGCTACAAGCATTGTAACTAAGCTCATGGCAATATACTACAGGTTAGTGGAGTTAAAAACGACATTTTTACTTGCAACAAGGAAGATTTTTGACAATGTGAAAAGTTAGCAGATGTTGCTATAGATGATTAAGTAATTGTTTAAGTACATATTCGATATTCCCCTCTGGTATATTTTCCAATTTCTGCAAGATGTTGCTAAATGATTTAACAATTCAATCTAACCTTACACAATATGCTTTGGACAGTTCAGCAAGTTGAAATGAACTTGAATTTTTTGACATATGCTTTATATTTTACTAGTGTTCTACTCAACTCCCAGTTGTTAGTTGTATTTTATGTGCACTTGGTATGTTACTATGTTATATACCCAAGTCCATATAAGTTACTGTTGTAAAGGCTTTATTGAGCTGGGTGGCCCATGCTAACTTGGCCAACATGTAAAAAGATGGCAGTTCAATTTAGGCAGCCCATCAGGCAGTAGTGGGGATGCACTGGCCCATTATCCTTCCACTGCAAAGAGGAGGTTTTCGCTGCTCTGTGAAGCCAGCCTAATGCGGTACCCTCCGATCTAAAGACAGAGAAGCCTCCGCCTTCGCTGAGACTCCTCAATCAACTCACCCCTTGGAACGGGCAGGCCAGAAGATAGCACACCAAGCCCAGCCTTCAGGGCAAGGCCAATTGTTCCACCATCTTAATGCTCCCACTCGGGTTACAGGCTCACGGTACCAAGCCCAGCAGGCAATTCTTTTAGCTAGGGACATATTAAGAGAACATATTCTTCATCTGGTTTCGATGTGGGATGTTGTGCGAGGGCTGGTTTGGCTTTCATGGGGAAAAAATGGAGCAGACAACTATCGTGTACTCATGGTTTTTGCGGTGTATCATATTGTTCACCAAAACTTAGGTATGTAGATGAAGCCTTGATTTTTATTTTAATTTTGTGATGAAAATTGTATCATTTTTGTTCACTGAATGAAATTGCAGAGGCATAGCTTGGAAGCTTTGCTTCCCTGAATGGGATGGCAGATATGATTGGGTTCTGCTGGCAGCGTCCACTCGCACCCTATAAGCTTTGCTTCATTTTCATTTTCATTTTCATCTCACATTATTTTCGTACGTGTTTATTAATTAGTTTAAATTGTGGTGGCTAAAGTTTTAGAAATGAATTGAAGTTGCAGCAGCGTTGGTCGGAAAATAGTGAAAAAAAAGCATTATTTGGAAGTCTTGGTACTATATATGTAACATTTAGCAGTTTTGATCATTTATTGAGTTTAGGGAAAATTAGGGTTGTGATTTGAGATAGATTATGCATACAGATTTTTTGTGTACAATTTGATCCTTTTATGAATAATGGATAAATAATAATGTAGGCAGTTTACATAGAGGCAATTGCAATGGTGGAAGAGTATCTCAGGGTCATTACTCTCAGCTCAGTTTGAAAAACCTTCCTCAGGTTCCTTATTTTTGCACTGTATATACTAAAATAATAGGAGTCGATATAAAGAATGCCATAATGTTAACAATCTTGTAAAATTTCATCCTTTTTGTGAACCATTTACCACTTCAAATCAATTTAGAAGATGAATTTTGCTGAAAGCGTCACCTCTACTTTGTAGCATTTTTCAAATTAGAGGGACAGAAATATGCTCAAAGTAAAATGTGCCAAGAATTTGTTTTGTGATATTTCTAGGTAAATGAAAATATTTTGGGATTATAAAGCTCAGGTGTGTAGCTGCAGAAGCTGCTCAAAGGTCTTATCTCCATAGATGGTGAGATTCAAGATGACGAAATTGACAAGTTCCCTTGACAACAGGAGTACCAGTGTTACAATGAGTTCCACCTCAAATTCACCCAATTTCAGTAATGTGCTTCAGACCCTTCAATTGGAGGTATTCCCAATCAATAACTTGGAATAACACCTAATTATTTATGGGAAACTCAACTCCATTCAACCTTCCTTCCTTTTATTTATAGTTTTTGCTCCTACACTTTCATCCATCTTCATTCTTCACTTTCAATCTTTCTCTGTTTTATATGGCTTAGCTTGCTGATGCTTAGGCTATCTTTCTATCCACTGGTTGAATGTTACGTTGCCTTTATAGATTGGTGAATGTTTGAGATATATGGTAGCTATTGCAAATCAAAATTAATTTGCGCTTATCCTACCAGTCTTGAGCTGTAGAGTTTACATCATGAATAATTTATAATCAACTCTAGTTTATGGATTATTTACTTAGATAATCTAATTGGTATTATACAATCCATAATGTTTCATTGTGGCCTTGATCAATAATAACATAACTTGGGCATGTGGCACAATCTTGTTACTCTAGCATCTGCCATTTTAGCTTTTAAACTTTATTTCATTACAAGAGTATTTTTAAAGGACTTATCAAAAACTGAAGCCAGTGGAAGAGTTGAGATATATTTATATAGATTGTTACCTTTACAATTCTTCATTGTATATAGCTCTGAGACAAGTTATCTAACTGATAATCTAAACAGGGTAAAGTTGGCAATTGAGGAGGACGTTGAGAGAGAAGAAGCATCTTTGCGTGAAGATTTATATTCATCGGACATAAAATTTGCAGAATATTACAATGTATGGACTTCTTTCCCATATCCTTGCAGCCTTTTATCTGAACTTTCCTCTTCTTCATCTCTGGACTGAATTGTGCCTTCCAATGAGGTAAAGAACTTTGTTCTCAGCAATTGAGTTGAGTTGTTGAAGGAGACAAAACAATATAAACGAATGTGAGAAAATATTGAATCCTTCCTTGTAGGCAAATACAGTTTACATATATAAAACAACAATGCTCTCTAAATTCTTCTTCATTGTTGTAAAGGGGGTTCATTGGCTGTGTTGCTAACTGGCCCCCAAAAAAAAAAAGATGGCAGTTCATCTAGGCAGCCTTTCAGGCGCATGAAGAGGAGGAGGTTCCTCATGTGGTGCTGGAACGGGCAGGCCAATCGATAGCAACCCCCAATGTTCCACCATCTTGATGCTCCCACTTGAGTAACAGGCTCACACTACCAAGCCCAGCAAGCCATTCTTCTAGCTAGGGAGTTATTAAGTGAAAATATTTCTCATCTGGTTTCAATGTGGGATATTGTGCAAGGCCTTGTTTGGCTTCCATGGGGAAAAAGTGGAGCAGACTACTATCGTGTACTCACTCGTGGTTTTTGACCGCTATTAGATTTGCGAAGCCTTGATTTTTGTTTTTGTGATGGAAATTGTATCATTTTTGTTGAAGGGGGGAGGGGCTTATATGTGCAGCAGAGACATATATAGCCTGGAAGCTTTAATTTGCTTCACTGAGTGAATGGAATGGCAGAGATGATTGGGTTCTGCTGGCAGCATCCAATCACACCCTACACCATATAAGCTTTGCTTCATTTTCATTTCCATCTCACATTATATATTTTCATACGTTTTTATGATTTAATTTATGGATTGGCAGATATGAGGAATTGCTTTGCAAGTTTTTTGTTGGTTTTGAGCTGTAGAGTTTACATCTGACCAAACTATGATTCCACAGATACATCCATCAACTGGTAATCAAATACCCAGAATGGTTTTCCCCACATTCTCTACCCAAATTATATTCTTGTTATACAGTTATTTATGAATTACTCTGTCATGATCAAGGGGAGAAAAGAGAGATTGAAGAAGAGAACAGAGGGGAATGAGCATGAGAAATGCAGGGATTGAAGAAGCTGGAAATAATGTCAATGTGGGGGTGTTCGTTCTCTTTTTGTACGGTAATTGTAGAACAAAATAAAATAAAATGATAATTAAAACTAATTACTTAAAATTAAACTACAACGCGATTTAATATTAACCAATTACAAAGTGGTTAAAAATAAATTAAAGTATATCAAAAATAAAATACAAATCGGTTAAATTAATTGTTGTTGTTGTTCCATATATGCTCAACCAAATCCGCGCGAAGTTGATGATGCAATTGCGAGTCATGTAACTCGGCATTCTTTGTAAATATTGTTGAAACTCTTCGGTTGATCCTTGGGTCGCTTCTGTTGTTGTTCCATTTTCTTCGTCCACCCAAGTAGTTATGTGCTCGCCTTCATCCTCAACAATCATGTTGTGTAAAATAATGCAAGTATACATTATTTCTCTCAAGTGTTCCTTATAACAAAATCGTCCAGGACCTCTAACCATTGCCCATCGAGCTTGTAAGACCCCAAATGCTCGCTCTACATCTTTTCTAGCCGCTTCTTGTTTTTGTTTAAACAATATTCTTTTGGGGTCTGCTGGACATGAAAAATTCTTCACAAACACTGACCATTGTGGGTAGATACCGTCTGTTAGATAGTAACCTCTTTTGTACTCCGTACCGTTCATAATAAAATTAACCTCCGGTGCATTTCCTTGCAACACATCATTGAATAAAGGCGATTGATTTAAAACATTGATATCATTCATAGCACCTGCGACGCCGAAGAATGCATGCCATATCCATAAGTCTGCTGATGCGACCGCTTCTAGCATAATTGTTGGAACTCCATGATCGCCTCGTGTAAATTGACCTTTCCATGCTACCGGACAATTTTTCCACTCCCAATGCATGCAATCAAGACTCCCTAACATTCCCGGGAAGCCGTGCTTTTGTTCATGCATGTGAAGCAATCGAGCGGTGTCTTCTACATTTGGTCTTCTCAAGTATTGAATGCCAAAAACTTCAATGACACATCGGCAAAAGTGAAATAAGCATTTTACGGCAGTTGTTTCACCCATGCGTAGATACTCATCCATTGTGTCTTCATGTGTACCATATGCCAATTGTCGAATGGCCACGGTGCATTTCTGTAGCGTTGATAAACCGGTCACTTTAGCAGCGTTTTCTCTTTGTTGAAAATATTCATAACGACTTTGCAATGCATTGACTATGCGTAAAAATAATTCTTTCCTCATTCGAAAACGTCGGCGGAAGATGTCGTCCGGGAACACCGGATCATCGGAAAAGTAATCAGCGACTAAACGATTGTGGCCTGCCACATGGTTCCTATTGAAGTATCGTCTTTTCTTTCTCGGTTGGGAAGAATTTTGACGTTGTTGAACTAGCTTTGCCAACCGCAATATGTGTTTCACAATTTCTTCTTCAATTTGTTCTTCAAGTTCTTCAATTTCTTCTGCAATTGAATCATCACTACTATCATCACTACTGTCATCACTACTATCATCATCCATAGGATTCCAATTAGGAGGGACATCCATAGGATCCGAATTAAGATCCCAATTAGGAGGGAGTGACGACATTTTGCTAGTGTAAGAAAAATAAAAATATAGAAGTGCAAGAATTTAAATGATGTAAATGAGATTGGTTGTGAATAAGTATTGCATGCTAACATATATATATATAAGCAAAATAAAAAAATAAAAAAAAAATAAAGTTGCCGTTGCAGCAACTATCCGTTGCTGCAACGGATAGTTGCAGCAACGGCAACTTCTCAAACCAGTGAGGAATTTCTCACTGGTTTGGGAAATTTCTCACTGGTTTGAGAAATAAATATAAAATTAATTATAATACATATTAAATTACCACATATTACATTAATGTACCGAAATTGAGTACAAATAACACATACTACATTAACATTAACATTAAAATTAAAATTAAGAGAATTAAAATTACAACATTTTTTTTCTCAAAAAAAATTTTCAACATTTTAAACTTACAAATACGAAAATTGAACATTAACCTACGTTAATTAAAAGAATAAAAATAAAAAACTATGACTGTTTTACATTTTGCCGACGTCGCCTAATATCGTTACAATATTTTAAGTGGTCCGTAAGTTGCTGTTCCGTCATTTTTATGTGTATTTCATTAATATTTTATATTCTTTTATTTATATTTTCCTGTCATTGCTTTCCTTTCTTATTTGTTTTCCAACATTTCGTCTAGATTTTCAAATGATCCATGGACATCTTCAACATGATCGTCGTTGGAGTAGCGTTCTTTAGATTTTCGTTTCGCTGCTTTTTTCCCTAGTAGTCTAGGGAAAACTTCTTCGCTGTCACTTGCACTACATGCTGCGACTTGAAGTTTGATTGGTAGATGACGTACCTAAAGAGATTTGACGAGCTACCGTTTGGGGTTGCCAGCTTGGAAGGTCTTTCACAAGGGCCCATATGTGTTTGTAGCAAAATTTTTATCGACCATATTTTTGTTTATATTCTTCCAAGGCACGCACAACAATATCTGCATAGTTAGCACCGATAGGCTGCATTGATTGTAACTTACAATAAATTGTATTAAAATCCATGGTAATAGAACGAATATGACTCCAATACGCCTTTAATCTTTGGTGGGTTCTCATTGGTCCACCGTTGGAATGATTGTTGTTGTAATATGTTTCAATACGCTTCTAAAATGTCGCACAATTTGGCTCATTGCCCTTCTTTGAATCTTGTGAGATTGTGGTGTACGCATGTGTCAACATTTTGTCATCCTCCATATTCCATTGTTGTCGACGACTCTTTGAGTTGTCAAATGGTGGAGTAATTGTTACTTCATTTTTGTTTTGTGTAGAAAAAGACGAAAATTGAGTAAATTGCATATTACCCGGAAAATTGGCCACTTTGTACGTTGATAGGAAATTGAGAAGACCCTACAAATTGAGAGTTTTGAAATATAGGTAGAAATGATGAAAATTGGAAATTACCCGGAAGTTGGGCATTTTGTGAAAATTGAGAGTTTTGTACAAATTAAAAATTTGGGAGAAATTAAGAATTTTGCGGAAATTGTTGGTTTTGTGAAGATGGTTGGGAAAAAGGAAAATTGGATTATGAATTTTGATTGTTAGAATTGTTGTTTTTCATTATGATATGCAAAAGGAATTGATTTGAGATGTAGAAATTGAGAGTAATATGAATGAATTGAGGGTAGGATGAAATGTGAAAAAATTATGAAGATTAGTGGTATTTATAGACTTTTTTTTTTTTTTTTTTTTTTTTTTTTTTTTTTAAATATATGTTGCCCGCAACGGCTGGAAATATGACCATTGCTGGCAACAGATTAAATTTTGGTCGTTGCTACGGCCAACAACGACCAAAATTAATTAAATTGAGAGTAGCTGCCAGCTGGCGGGCGCATTTATCACACGCGCCAGCTGGGTGGGCACTGGACAGTGAGACACTGCCTTTTTTTTTTTTTTTTTTTTTTTTTTTCCGGACATTATTTTGTTTCTTGCACGCGGAAGATTTTTCAATTATTTCATTCGCACATCAGTGATGATCTTCACTATGAAATAATTCCTGTACCAAAAACTCTCTATGATCCTTTGGTGTGGATGCTCTTAGCGAGCGACAAGAACTGAGTTATTTGAAGAAGACAAAAGCATATAGACAAATTTAAAAAAATATTGAATCTGTGTAGGTAAATACAATTTACATATATAATACAACATTGTTACTGCTGCTATTAAGGACTTCCGACTCCATACTAAATATAAACCATGTTTGGTAAAATAGTTAGCATATCAATTAATTTTAATTTATTTGACCACTCAAAAAGCTATTCAAAACAAAGTTAGCTATGGAGACGAATTTGTCTCCGGCCACGGAGATGATTCGTCTCTGGCCGACAGTTTTTGTTTTTATTTATTTTTTAAATATTTTAATTATTTATTTATTAAAAAGTATTTTTAAAAATTAATTTTAAAATTGATAACTTGCTACATCAGGTAAACAAGTCATTTTGAGTTAAATTGTATTTTTTTTGTGTTGTTCAATGTCACAATTGCATTCTTTTTGAGTTCAATGACCTAATTGCATTTTGGTGTGCAGTTAGGTGCCCTACTTGACTCTTATTATTTTAAATTTAAAAATTCATTTGAAATTTTAAATAATTTCACCTAAAAAGTGTTTTTCTAAATTGTAATTTAAAAAAAAAAGAAAAAAGTGAGATAAACATAATAATTATAATGGTAAAGAAAAGATGTGAAAATGACTCCAGTATACGTCATACGGATGCGCTTATGGACTGAGGTTGCACCGGCCAGTTATCCTTCCACCACAGTGAGGAGGAGGTTATCGCTGCTCTGTGAAGCCAGCCTCACGTGGTGCCCTCCGATCTAAGGACAGTGAAGCCTCCGCTTTCGGAGAGACTCCACAGTACAACTCACCACTTGGAACGGGCAGGACAGTAGATAGCAACCCTAGCCCAACCTTCAAGGCAAGCCAAACTATTCCACCATCTTAATGCTCCCGCTTGGGTTACAGGCTCGCGCTACCAAGCCCAGCGAGCCATTCTTCTAGCTAGGGAGTTATTAAGGGAAAATATTTCTCATCTGGTTGCAATGTGGGATATTGTATAATTTTTGTTGAAGGGGTGAGGGGCTTATATGTGAAGCAGAGACATATATAGCCTGGAAGCTTTAATTTGCTTCACTGAGTGAATGGAAAGGCAGAGATGATTGGGTTCTGCTGGCAGCGTCCAATCACACCCTATAAGCTTTGCTTCATGAATTCATTTCCATCTCACATTATATATTTTCATATGTTTCTATTATTTAGTTTAATTGTACTTTGCTGAGGTTTTAGAAATGAATTGAAGTTGCAGCGGCGGTTTGTATAGATTTGGTTGTGGTAGGAAAATGGTGAAGGGGTGCAGTAACGGAGCAACTATGATCTCCAACATGTACTCTCTCCATCTATACACTTGTATTTTTATTTGCATTTTATATGAAATGTGCTTGATTATATATTGATGCGGGCTTGGGAGGAAATGATGAAAGGAGCTTCAGCATTATTTGGAAGCCTTGGTACTTACTATATATGTAAACTTTAGCAGTTTTGATCATTTATTGAGTTTAGGGAAATTAGGGTTGTGATTTGAGATAGATTATGCATACAGATTTTTTGATATGCTACTTTGTGTACAATTTGATCCTTTTATCGATAATGGATAAATAATAATGTAGGCTGTTTACATAGAGGCAATTGTGATGGTGAAAGGATATCAGCAAGCTCTTTCAATTGGAGGTGTTCCCAATCAGTACCTTGGAATAACACCTAATTATTTAAGGGAAATTCAACTCGGGCAGTTGCCGTTATCCATGGCTTCTGGAAAAAAAGATAGAAAAACCCGAGTGCAGTTATTGTACGAGGTCTAGTCAAAGCAATATGGAAAGGTTTATAATATATTGATATGAATAGTAAGATCTGCCCCATAATCAATCCAGTTTTTGCTACTATTCTCTTCTTGGTTTCTTCTTCCTCCTCAAAAACCAGAGTTCGAAGAAGTAATAAATGAGAGGTCTTGATAGAGAAAGCGCTCAAAAACCCATAATAAAGTCCAGCCGCAAGAACTGAATTTATTATTTTGTAATAAACCGAACGAAAAGGAAATTGATTCCTCATAGTGAGATACTCCTATATTTCAATAGTGTTGTGAAAAATATCGTGAAATTCAATATTTGTTCATATAAGTCACATATAAGTAATTAGATTTCTAAGATTTCTAAAAATTGAACTTTGAATAGTGAAATTCGATATTTGTTCATATAAGTAATTAGATTTCTAAGATTTCTAAAAATTGAACTTTGAATAGTGAAATTCGATATTTGTTCATATAAGTAATTAGATTTCTAAGATTTCTAAAAATTGAACTTTGAATAGTGAAATTTGGTAAAGGTAAATTTGATTCTATGATTTCAAATTACTTTGCAAGTTTTGACTTTTTGGATTGAGGAATTGCTTTGCAAGTTTTTGTGGAGTTGTAATTGTTTTGAGTTGCTATTCTAATTACTTGAAGTCTTGAACTAAGTAATTCTATTGGAACATATATGTTAACACTTCTAGTGTAATGATATTGTAGGACATGGCAGAATACCAGATATTTTCACGTGAGATCAAAAATCATTTAGATGCTAAATGTGAAAAGGTAGCAGATGTTGTTTCTATTGATGACATTGCTTTGTCAGCATTGCAACCTTCCTTCCATTCATCTTGATTGTTCAGTTTGATTCTATCTCTGTTTTATATGATTGCTGATGTTTAGGCTATCTTTCTATTCACTATTGTCCACTAGTTGAATGTTAGTAGTTTGGGTGACAAATGAAACATCTAAAGCTATGTTGCATTAATAGATTGGTGAATGTTTTTGAGATATATGCTATTGCCTTTATAGATTGGTGTATCTTATCAAAAGCTCGTCTTCCAGAAAGGTGTGACACTATGAGTGCAAAGTTGAGGTAGCTAGGATTCACCCATATATATGATTCCCATCCACTACTAAATAAAGAGTCTGCTTTTGTTAAAACTCATTCCAATTACTGAATATTTAATTACAATTTTAATTCTAATTCCGATACTCTAACAAACGCTCTCTATATATTTCCTAGACAACTAATATTGAGCAGCATCAATAGCAGGAGCAGCAGTACCAGCTTTCCTGAAGAGGCCTCAGCAGCAAGAACTGAGTTGTTTGAAGAAGACAAAACCATATAAAAGAATGGGGAAAAAAATTGAATCCTTTTAGGCAAATACAATTTACATATATAATACAGTATTGCTTTTATTAAGGAGTCCCAATACTAAACACATTCACAAATATTCTGAATATTTCAATTTTAAAAATCATTTGAAATTTTGAATAATTTTATCTAAAATATTAAATTTGGAAAATGAAGGTAAAAAATGTTCTTGTTGCCCAAAACACTTCACACCCCCATTTAGCTCTCTAACTGTTGTAAAGGCTTTATTGGGTTGTGTGGCCCATGCTAACTTGGCCAAACAGGTAAAAAGATGGTGGTTCACTAGTGGACTGAAGATGCACTGGCCCGTTATCCTTCCACTGCAGAGAGGAGGAGGTCTTCGCTGCTCTGTGAAGCCAGCCTCACGCGGTACCCTCCGATCTAAGGACAGAGAAGCCTCGACCTTCGTCGAGACTCCTCCGTCAACTCACCACTTGAAATGGGCAAGCCAGAAGATAGCATACCAAGCCCGGCCGTCAGGGCAAGCCCAACTGTTCCACCATCTTAATGCTCCCACTCGGGTTAAAGGCTCACGCTACCAAGCCCAGCCAGCAATTCTTCTAGCTAGGGACTTATTAAGAGAACATATTCTTCATCTGGTTTCGATGTGGGATATTGTAAGGGTTGGTTTGGCTTTCATGGGGAAAAAATGGAGCAGACAACTATTGTGTACTCACGATTTTTGTGGTGTATCATATTGGTCACCAAAACTTAGATATGTAGATGAAGCCTTGATTTTTATTTTAATTTTGTGATGAAAATTGTATCATTTTTGTTCACTGAATGAAATTGCAGAGACATAGCTTGGAAGCTTTGCTTCCCTGAATGGAATTGCAGATATGATTGCGTTCTGCTGGCAGCGTCCAATCACACCTATAAGCTTTGCTTCATTTTCATTTCCATCTCACATGATTTTCATACGTTTTATTATTTAGTTTAAATTGTGGTGGCTAAAGTTTTAGATATGAATTGAAGTTGCAGCAGCGGTTCGTATAGACTGGTTCTGGTCGCAAAATAGTGAAGGAAGCATTTTTTGGAAGCATTGGTACTATATATGTAACATTTAGCAGTTTTGATCATTTATTGAGTTTAGGGAAAATTAGGGTTGTGATTTGAGATAGATTATGCTTACAGATTTTTTGTGTACAATTTGATCCTTTTATGGATAGTGGATAAATAATGTAGGCAGTTTACATAGAGGCAATTGCAATGGTGGAAGAGTATCTCAGGGTCATAACTCTCAGCTCAGTTTGAAATTCCTCATATTCCTTATTTTTGCACTGTATGTACTAAAATAATAGGAGTCAATATAAAGTCTCATCATTTTTGTGAACCATTTACCACTTCAAATCAATTAGAAGATGAATTTTGTTGAAAGCATCAATCACCATTAAAACTATACTTTGTAGCATTTTTCATATTTAAAGGAACACACACACACACACACACACACAATATATATATATATATATATATATATATATATATATATATATATATATATGCTCAAAGTAAAATGTGCCAAGAATTTGTTTTGTGATATTTCTAGGTAAATGAAAATATTTTGGGATTATGAAGCTCAGGATTTTAGCTGCAGAAGCTGCTCAAAGGTCTTATCTCCATAGATGGTGAGATTCAAGATGACGAAATTGACAAGTTGAGTGTACTCTGAAGAAGTTCCCTTGACAACACGAGTACCAGGGTTACAATGAGTTCCAGCTCGAATTCAACCAATTTCACTAATGTGCTTCAGACACTTCAATTGGAGGTATTCCCAATCAATACCTTGGAATAACACCTAATTATTTATGGGAAACTCAACTCCATTCAACTTTCCTCCATTTATTTATAGCTTTTGCTCCTACACTTCCATCCATCTTGATTGTTCAGTTTGAATCTTTCTCTGTTTTATATGGCTTAGCTTGCTGATGCTTAGGCTATCTTTCTATCCACTATCGTCCACTGGTTGAATGTTATGTTGCCTTTATAGATTGGTGAATGTTTGAGATATATGGTAGCTATTGCAAATCAAAATTAATTTGAGCTTATCCTACCAGTCTTGAGCTGTTGAGTTTACATCATGAATAATTTATAATCAACTCTTTTTTTTTTTTGGGGGGGGAATTTATAATCAATTCTAGTTTATGGATTATTTACTTGAATAATCTAATTGGTATTATACAATCCATGATGTTTGATTGTGGCCATGATCAATAATAACATAACTTGGCATGCGGCACAATCTTGTTACTCTAGCATCTGCCATTTTAGCTTTTAAACTTTATTTCATTATTACAAGAGTTCTTTTAAAGGACTTATCAAAAACTGAAGCCTATGGAAGAGTCGAGATATATTTATATAGATTGTTATCTCTACAATTCTTCATTGTATAGCTTTGAGACAAGTTATCTAACTGATCATCTAAACAGTGTAAGGTTTGTAATTGAGGAGATTGAGAGAGAAAAAGCATTTCTGTGTGAAGATTTATGTTCATCGACAGAAAATATACAGAATATTACAATGTATGGATCTCTTGCCATATCCTTGCAGCCTTTTTTGTCTGCACTTTCCTCTTCTTGATCTTTGGACTGAATTGTGCCTTCCACTGAGGTAAGGAGAACTTTGTTTCTCAGCATACTGACTTAATGCTCGTGTTACCAACCCCAACGAGCATTCCTCCTAGCTAGGAGGCTCTTATTAAGAGAACATATTTCTCATCTGATTTCAATGTGGTTAGCTGTGTGACGACTTAGAAAAAAATTGGAGCAGAGAACTGATGCTATGAGCAATTTGCGTATCTTTGTTGAAGGGGGGCTTATATGTGAATCCGAGACATAGCCTGGAGAAGCTTTGCTTCATTGAATGAAATGGTAGGCCTTTGCCTTCGCAGAAACTCCCCACTTGGAATGGGCAGGCCAGTAGATAGCAACCCCAGCCCAACCTTCAAGGCAAGCCCAACTATTCCATCATCTTAATGCTCCCGCTTGGGTTACAAGCTCACACTACCAAGCCCAACAAGCAATTCTTCTAGCTAGGGAATTATTAAGAGAAAATATTTCTTATCTGGTTTCAATGTGGGATATTGTGCAAGGCCTTGTTTGGCATTCACGGGGAAAAAGTGGAGCAGACAACTATCGTGTACTCACTCATGGTTTTTGACAGCTATTAGATTGCGAAGCCTTGATTTTTGTTTTTGTGATGGAAATTGTATCATTTTTGTTGATGGGGTGAGGGCCTGAGGGGCTTATATGTGAAGCAGAGACAGGCTGGAAGCTTTACTTTGCTTCACTGAGTGAATGGAGTGGTAGAGAAAAGAGAGAAGAAGAGAACAGAGGGGAATTACTAATGAGCATGAGAAATGCAGGGATTGAAGAAGCTGGGAACAATGAAAGGTCAGATGACATTGCTTGAACAAAGACTTAATTTTGGCGCCCTCTTCCAAAATAAAATATAAGACAGTTATTATGTGGGAATGGCAACGACCCTCGTTAGTGAAGATAAATGTAGATAGAGTAAGAGGGGCCAATCCGGTATTGCAGCTTCATGTGGTATAATTAAAAATGACTAAGGTTCGTGGGAATTGCTACAAGCATCGTAACTCAGCTCATGGCAATATACTACATGTTAGTGGAGTTAAAAACGACATTTTTACTTGCAACAAGGAAGATGGTGGTTGTTCATTGAAAGTGTGGATTTATAATTAAAAAATGAATAAATCCTTTACTTGGGCCTAAAAGGAAAATAAGTAAAAAGATGGTGGTTGAATTAAGGGATGCACCAGCCAGTTACTTCCAACATGGAGAGAATATGGAGGGGGTTACAGGCTCATGCTACAAAGCCCAGCAAGCAATGCTTCTAGCTAGGGACTTATTAAGAGAACATAGTTCTCATCTGATTTCGATGTGGGAAGTTGTGTGAGGACTTGTTTGGCTTTCATGGGAGAAAGAAATGGAGCAGACAACTATCATGCATGTTCTCGTGTTTATGCATGGCTCTTGCTTCACTGAATGGAATGGCAGAGATGATTGGGTTCTGCTGGATGTATCCAGTCACACCCTATAAGCTTTTATTTGCTTCATTTTATTCCCATTTCACATTATTTTCATATGTTTTTATTGTTTAGTTTAGAAATGTGCTCGATCATATATTGATGCAGGCGAGGTAGGAAATGATATGATGAAAGAGCTTCAGCATTATTTGGAAGTTTTGGTACTATATATGTAAAATTTAGCAGTTTTGATCATTTATTGAGTTTAGGGGAAATTAGGGTTGTGAGTTGAGATTATATATGCATACAGATTTTTTGTGATGCTAATTTGATCCTTTTATGGATTATGGATACTAAATGTGAAAAGTTAGCAGCAGATGTTGTTGCTCATAGATGACTTTTATCCATCTTGATTGTGCAGTTTGAATCTTTCTCTGTTTTAATATGGCTTAGCTTGCTGATGCTTAGGCTATCTTTCTATTCACTATGTTGAAACACAAAAGTTGTGTCTGTAGAAATATAGCTGTTGAAGTTGTGTAGGGTTGTGTCTATTAGGATTGTGTCTCTTAGTCTGTATATATATTTATCTATTGTCTCCTCATTGAGACAAGCAAGTAATAAAAACTTCTTCTACATCTTCTTTCTCAACATGGTATCAAGAGCCAAAAGTCAAAATTTGAAATTTTTTTCCGGTGAACAGTACATTTACTGTTCATTCGAAATTAATTTTTCAAATTACTTGCTATTGGTGAGATATTTTATCAAATTAGTACTACAGCCGCCTTACCCATCCTCCGGCGACCATTACCCATCAATTCCGGTCGCCGGAATCTCCTCCACGCGCCTCCACGCGCCATCGCGTCGCCGGCGCTCCGACACCACGCGCCGGCGCGTGAGGCCATCTCCGGCGTCCTTTTCCGGCGAGATTTTCCAGATCGTATCGTCGGCTCTCCTCCTTTCCTTCCGTGCAATCAGATTTATTTTTGGTCACGATGTCTTCCGACGGAAATTCTGATAATTCGGGTACTATTTCTCCTGCCAATAATTTATCTACTTCTTCGAGCTCTGTTTATGTGCCTAATCTGTCTGGAAACCCGGTAATCACTTCTGAAAGATTATGTGGTTCTCAAAATTACCACTCTTGGTCGGATGCCGTAGAATTATGGTTTATGGGCCAAGGTGTTGTTGACCACTTGCAAAAAGAAGTGGATATGATACCGGAAAAAGAAAAGACAGTTTGGCAAAGGTTAGATGCTCAACTTTGTAGTCTCCTTTGGCAGTCTCTTTCTCCACAATTGTTGCCTTTATTCCGGCCCTTTAAGACATGTGTCGGGGTGTGGAGTCAAGCTCAATCTCTGTACACTAATGATGTCTCTCAATTCTATAATGTTGTTGACAATTTGGTTAACTTGAAGAAAGATGGTATTGATATGGAAACTTTTCTTGGCAAAGCCCAAAGTTTGATTGCTGAGTTTGGTACACTCATGCCTATTGGTGGTACACCCGCAGAGCAACTTACCCAACGAGAGAAATTCTTTGTCATACTTCTCTTAACCAAATTAGGTCCAGAATTTGAAAGCATCCGGAATCAAGTTCTTGGAAGCAACATTGTCCCGGGGACCACCGAGTTGTTCAAACGGCTCTTGCAGGTCACCTCCATTCCGGGTACTTACACATCCACTACCGAACAATCTGCTCTAGTCACACAAGGTGGTCGTGGACGAACTAACAATCGTGGTGGACAAAAAAACACTAGAGTGTGTGATTATTGTAATAGAACTGGGCACACACGAGATCAGTGTTGGAAACTTCATGGGAGACCGGTACGTACACAAGCAAGTGTTGCTCAATCTCAACCTGGGGAACCAAATTCTCGAACCATTTCCGCTGCTGAGTATGAAGAGTTTGTTCGATTTAAAGCCACTCCCAAAGCTTCTGGTTTAACTCCTGCAGCCTAC